GCTCAAAGAAAACAGACAGAAGCCTCAAAATGGTTGCCAACGCTTTAAGATGGCTGCCAGGCTGGAACGCAAGAGAGAGGGCACACACACACACACACACACACACACACAAACACACACACACACGTGCGCGCTCACAGGCCGTGGCAGGGTGGCAAGTGTTAGTGTGTGTGACAGAAAATGTTAAAGTGTGTTTGTGAATGAAAATGTGAAGGAGTGTGTGTGTGTGTGTGTGTGTGTGTGTGTGTCTGTTGGCAGCAGCTCCTTGGCAGCGGCGGCCGGCTGGGCGTCCAACAATGGAGACGGCTGAAGGGATTCTCTCTCTTTCTCTCTTTTAAACACTATCTGAGCAGCGAGACATAAACTACAAACAGAGCGAGCGATTGGACGCCGTTTCTAAAATGGCGGCGCATTGGCAGCGGCGTCTCGCCGATACAAAGCCGCGCGCGACTCGTCTGTTTGTGCAGTTTTATTTTATAATTAACGGAACACAAAAGGGAAAAAAATCACAAATTGAATATTTGGTTTGTCGTCAGCGTTCGATCGGCCTCGAGTGTGTTTGTGTGTGTGTGTGTGTGTGTTGGATTTAGCTTTGTGGGACTCGTGTGTGTGTGGTGTGAGTGTGACGGGCTTCCATAAAATGGCGGCCGTTGGACGGCGTCAAAATGGAGGCCGGAGGCGTCGAGTCATTCAGAAGAAACGTGAAGAAGATTTCATGTTGTAATCTGACAGAAAAGAAAGAAAGAAAAGAAGAGTGTGTGTGTGTGTGTGTGTGTGTGTTTTGTTGGCGGACTCGGCGCTGCCGTCGTGCCAGAGTTCAAGATGCCAAGTCGAGGTCTTGATCCTGCAGCGCTGCCTGGAAACACGAATCAAACGCACCTCCTCCTGCTGCAGACACAAACAGCCTCCGTTGGTTCTGTTGGTGGTTTCATGTGTGAAGGAGGTGAATCCAGGACCAGCGTGTTGAATTAACGATAAATCTGGACAAAATATATGTCGAACAAAATGATTCTTAGTCTCATGAAATCTGTATATTTACTGCAGACAGTAATAATTAAAGCAGACGCGAGTGTGAAGCCTGAAGAGTAACAGGAGGAAATAAACGCTAACATCACAGCAGCAGCCTGAAACAAAACCACACATTTATATGTAACATGTATGACACACGGATAAAAACTAAAAAAACAAAAACGATTACAGAATAAATTTTAAAATGTGATAAAAAGCTCCATAAATCTAAAACAAGTTCAAATGTTCTGACCGGCTCCAGACATCAGCAGATATTTACTATAAAACCTTTATTTGTGGAGACGCTCAGCTGCTCTGAATGTTCTGTAAAGGTTCTGTAAAGGTTCTACAGAACTCTTATTTATCAGACAGTTCTTCACCTGTTAAAGAACAGATGAGCCACATGAAAATTTAGTTAAAATCAAAAGCTGAAGAACACAAAGTCCACCAGAGAGACCTGAATATAAATATAGAAATAAAAATGATTTATGTTCTATTTATTGTTCAATGTCCTCCATGTTTAAAGTACAACTACAGTTTTAACTGAAGCTGCTGCAGGTTGTTACTGATGTAAACAAACCAACTCTGAGCTGTCAGTCAGGAGGGAGGGGCGTCCTCCTCCAATCACAGGGCTGGGATGCTGCTGGTGGGCGGGGCTTCGGCCGAGCAGCAGAATATGAATAAAGCTAATTTACTGCTCGTTCAGATGCAGCTGATTTGTGGCCTTTCTAAAAATGAATTCATACGTCTCCTCATTTCATTAAAAGCTAAATCAGAGCAGCTTGATCGATACTAGGAAGGGAGCGCTTGTTTTCACTGCCGCAGCGCCGCGGCCCATCGGCCAGGCGGGAACTCAGCTTGCAGAACCTTCCAGTAAGGACCGGCTGCAGCCCTCTGCTCATCTGGTCAGCTCAGAAAAAAGGAAAAGGTCCTGGCTGCCAAAATGGTTTCTTTTTTTGTCGTCTTCTTTCTGTGTTTGTCGCTCTGCCAAGAGACGACAACATGATCCAGCCTGACTCACCCGCCGAGGGGAGGACGGGGGAGGAGGGGAGGCAGGGCGCCGCTTAAAATAAGAATCTGAGGCTCAGAAACAAACTGATCGGCTTCAAATGGTGTCCAATCTGGAGCCCTAAACTCATCACAAATTATAATCTATGATTATCACAGATATCTGGAGCTTCCTGCTTTAAACTTCTGCTTTTTTTTTTTGACAAAACCTTTAAATTTCTCACTTGACATAAAAATGGGAAAAAAAACAAATAACCAGCAAAACAAATATTTTCAGTTGTAAAAATAAAATAGTTCAAACTGAGCATCCGGTGGAATTTATTCATTTTTAATATTTAGTTGTGCTCATAATAATAAAAGTTCAACATCTTGAATCTATAAATATGGAAATATATATTTAGCATATTTCTTGTTTTTCTTTATTATTCTGCTGCTGTAACACTGCAGACCTCTGCCGGACTAATTAAAGCTTTTCTCATTATCTCATTGAATAAACTCGTCATTTTCTCAGAAGCCGTTTGTGTTGAAATGTTTATTCAGTCATTAGACGTGAGTCATTTGCTCCAACAACATGTTCGTGACGTTTTATTTCCTCTACTCAGAGCAGCGAAACATAAAGTTCATATTATCTCCTGGTAACTGCAGGCGTTGCTCTGACAGAGTTCCTCCTGGTCAGCAGGCGGCGCTGCAGCGACATCCGTCATGTCTGCATCCAGGTCGGACTAAACTGCTCTCAGGTGTTTGTAGTTTTTACGTGTTCAGCGGGTAGTTGAACTCTGACGTCTGAGGTCCGTCTCCTCCGACTGAACGACATGTTTCTGTCACTTCCTGTGTTTCTGTGTTGTTTACATGTTTTTGTATTTTTTGTTTGTTTGTTTTTGTCTATTTTTTTTCTGTTTTTGCGTGTTAATGTGTGTTCTTTGTTTCTCTGTTTCTTTGTGTGGTTTATTTGTATGTTTGTGTGTGTTCCTGTTTATTTGTTTTTGTGTTTTTCATGTGTTTTGTGTTTTTCTTATTTGTGTGTTTGTGTGTTTTTTGTCTGCTTCTCTGTGTGTGTGTTTGTATATTTTGTGTTTTTTTCATGTTATTGTGTTTTTAGTTTGTGTTTCTATTAGTCTTTGTGTTTCTGTGTTTTTTATATAATTGTGTATGTTTTGTGTGAGTCTACGTGTTTTGTATATACTTGTGTGTTTGCTTGTGTTTCTGTTTTTGTCTGCGTGTGTGTTTGCACTGTAAAACTTTACAACGACTTCAGTGACATAAACTCACGTGTTGTCATTTAACGCGATATTTGAGTGAAAGCTGTCGTCGGGTTTGTAGTTTGAAGGAAAACGTCACAGCTGAATCTTGTTTTGTGTGTTTTTAAGGCCGGTTGTGTGTTTGTGATTTAAAAAGAAGAGAAAGAGGAAAAAACAATAAGTTCACTGGTTGGAGGCTTTTACTTTGAAATGCTGGAGGGAGAGGAGCACGGCATGTCTAAACAAGGACTTTTATTCTGAAGCCTGAGACTGAGCGCAAGCACTGGTTTCACTGGTTTCACCGTCACTGATGTCTTTATGTGCCGTTGTGTGTTGTTGTGTTGTTGTGTTGCTGTGTGTTGTCGGACCCCCCCTCACCTCCTCACCCCTGCCTCACCCCTCAGTGGGGGAGGGGGGTGGAGGCAGACAGTCCGGTCTGCTCCCACGCCTCATTAGCATATTTAATTAACCTGCTGACGGCTGAATGAGGGGGGGTGGGGGGTGAGGGGGTGATGGGGGTGGGGGGGCAGTGTGTGAAAATACCCTCCAACACACACCAGCAGACCCCCCCCTCACCCCCCCTCCGGTTGCCGTGGTTTCGGCCTGATGCTCTTTGTTTTAAGCCTCTGAAGCGAACAGACGCCTGAAAAACAGGCCGACAGGAGCCGAGCTGTGGCTCCGAGAAGTTTCTGAAGTTTAACTGATTCAATCGTCTGCTGACGTCCGTCCAGAAAAGATTCAACCAGTTAATTTAGAAATAAGAAATCTGACCTGCCGAACATTTTCAGTTTAAACAAACCCGATGAAACTGGTTTAACTTCAGCTGTGTGGATTCAGTGTGTTTTAACTGAAGCAACGCCAACGAAGAAACAAAAACCAGAATAGGAACCCGTTATAGGGGATAAAGTGAAGAGAAACATCTACAAAAAGAGACTCAACGACCAATAAAGAAACCTTCAGGAGAACTAAGAAGCTGCTGATTCACCAAACATCCAAAAACTGGACGTTTAATGTCACACAAACATCCAGAAACTAAATGAACGAGACACAAAAACCTCTTTTTTGGGTCCTTTTCTCTTCACTCGTCCTCTCATTCATTCCTTTAACTTGATTTATACTCAAGAATAAACAGAAGAAACACAAAGACGGATTGTAATGTGACAAAAAGAGAGAAAAAAGCAGTTAAATAAATATATAAAGATTTAGACAGATAAAATTATAACAATATTAAAAAAAATACACATAAATAAGTGAAATGAGAAAATAACCTGAATATTCGATGGTTAAATTAAGTCCTTAAATTGTTAATTAAAATGTAATTAAGTAGAAGGAAGTAGAGTTAAAAATCAATCATCCAAACACGTATTCATCTGAAGTAGCTGCTGCATTTATGAGCTGAACCCAAATTAAAACAGTTTTTCCAAAATATAATTCATGAAACTTATCAGTACCATATTATTATTATTATTATTATTATTATTATTATTATATTATCATATTACTCTTATTCAGTTCTTCATCAGATCACAGAACTTCTCTCCTGTGCTTCAGTGTTTTTAAGGAGATTATCGTTTGTAAAGTGAAGCTCAACGTCTACGTCACACTCGAACATTTAAATCTGAACCAAACAGCTGCGGAACATCAGCAGCTCCGTCCGTCTTCATTCGCTGATTAAAACTAATCAAAGCGACTCGACTCCTCCGGTCTCAGTCCGGTTCTGAGTCATGGCCCGGCTGCAGGGGCATGATGGGTAATATTTCTTCCACTGCAGCGCGGCCGATCGATGCCTCTGAAGCCGCTAAATCATCGGCAGGGCGAGCAGAGTGCATGCTGGGAAAACGGAGGCAGGTTCTCCGTCAGAGCAGGAACGTTTCCCAGAATCCTCCCATTCACAGAAGTTCACTGAAGAGAAACACGAGGCTTCACAGAACTGGAAGGAAACGGAGAAAAACACGTTGAACTTCATGAAACACAAGAGAAATGTTTAAATAAACAACATCAGTTCATGATGGAGAAGAAAAAAGTGGAATAAATATTAAATTAAAACGATCCAATGAGAGGAGGAGCACGACAAAACTGGGTAAAAATGATGCAGAAATTATAACAAGAAATGTACAACGTATGACAACAAGAATGACCTAAAGCTTGTCCACAATGGTTCAGAACAGGTGACACAGAATCAGTCGAAGGTCCAGCGTCACTAGAAAACGTCCACAATCGCTTAAAAGCTGTCCAGAATTATTTAGAACCAGATCAAGGTGCTGAAAAAGTGTCCAGGTTGACTGGAAATGTCCAAAATGACTCAAAATGTTTCTTCAGTGACTCAGAAAAATTTAAAATGAGTCAAAGATTGTGACATAATGACTGAACATGTGTCTGAAAGGTTTCACAAATTAAACAAGTTGATTAAAAAATTTCCCACAATTACTTAAATGAACACCGTGGAGCACCAGATGGTATTATTATTATTATTATTATTTGTATTATTTGTATTATTAATAATTATGAATAAAAGAAAAATGTGTCTGAATTCATAGAAATTAATAGCATACATATAATAATAACTGTATAATCAAAAAAATAATAATTTAGTAAATAAATGAAAGTATCATGGTGACTGTTTTTATTGTCCCTAAATAAAAAAAAACTAAAAAAAAACTGTTAATATTTGTACAATATTATTTTTTTAAAGTTAGTATAATGAAACTAATTTTAAAAATACTGAATAAATGTCATTACATTTAATAATGTAAAGAATTGTTTATATTATAACTTGTTAAAAGTAGAAAGTTAATAAAAAAATATGAATATTTAAAAAAATAAGAAA